CCCCCCCCCCCCCCCCCCCCCTCCCAAACAACCAAGAGAGTGGTATTCCGAGTGGTGGCATGGTTTTCATGCCAACAGCGGCAGGAGCACCAGTATAACGGCCACCACGCGCACAATAGCATGAAGCGCAGACTGTAGCTGGCGGACCGTTGTCCACGGTGCATGTTTAACTTCGAATTGTTTGTTAGGGTCGTGTGTTTATCGTTACATGTTCAGACGTGCAGGCTTGCTTGGACGGCCGGGGGGTAGGGGGGGGCATTAGTGCAACGCGATGGAGCTAGGATCCAGCATGCATCAGAGTCGACAAATGAACACATGCATAAGTCGAAAGGAGGGCAGCGACATCGCGTGAAAGTAGTTCTAGCGTCGTGCTTGACGCCAAAAACAATTACCGCCATCAACGATATTCTGAATCACACCTTGTGCACTACACGGAACTCGTACGAGCCATGTATCCCTTCATGGCCACCTGAAACCAGGGGCTGTATTTTCCAAGAAACTTCGACGGTGTGCACCACCAACTATCTTTAAGATGTTTTGGCACCCTTGCGCCAGGCGAGCTCACTCTTTTCTTGTGCCAATTTGTTTTTAGAAACCCCTCTCGTGTCCCGCCCCTTCACGCATTTATTTTATATCCCGCCCCTTCCCGCCCTCTTATCAAACGAAGGGGTACGTCAACTTCTGCGCCGACGAGTCTGACCCGCCCCTGGAACACCAGAAACCTCGACATCGGGCGAAGAAGGTGACGCGGGGATTTCAGATGGTACCGTACAAGGACCTGGCGGATGGATCTCGAGAGTACGCCTTCAAGCGCAAGCACCTGTACGGCGTGATGGGTATCCTCATCACCGCGGGAATCACCCAGAAGCGGCGGATCACCGACCACTGGGGGGTGGATTTCCATGACAAGTACCCCCTGGTCCGGGCCTGCATGCCTCGAGACTCGAGACCTGTTTGTCCTGTTCTACGGCCGCTTCTTCCACTTGGCCCCGGGCACCGGCAAGCCCAACAAGGCTGATCCTCAGTACGACTGCAAACACCACATCAGGCATGCCCCATAACGGGTATGTTGTTATTTCCCTCGGATGTGTTGCCTGCTCCGCCCTTCAGAAGGATGGCCTAAGATACTGCTGAGTATGGCCTGAGTGAAAACGAACCGCCCTGACCCGCGGGCAGCTGCTTTGGAATACAGTATGTGTCGTCGTCAAAGTGCGAAGCACCCAGATCGACACCTGCCGAAAAATACGTTTAGATTGCGTGACCGGATGTGCAACGCTGATTGGGGGAAGGAAAACGGATGTCGTGCGGCCCCTCGGCCCAAACTACGTAGTAAACTGCAATATCGGGCCTCAACACTTGCAACACCGCTCTAGGTGCGAACTCCCCCTTTGAGTAGGTCCGCCGATGCTGCGTTTCGACGGTTTTGTGTTTGCCGACATACAAGTGCGGCCTCTGTGATGAAAAAAAAAACAACCGTCGAACATGATTGAAATAAATATATGCTACTCTCGGCAGGGAGCTGGAGGACGTGTTGAACAAGTGCTGGAGCGAGCTTGTGGACCCCGGCGCATGCCTATCGTACGACGAGCAGATGGTGAAGAGCACGGCGAGAGTGATGCTCGCGCTGATGAGGTTCAACAAATCGAAGCCTATCAAGCTCGGGCCGGGAGGGGGGTGTACTCATAGTCGTGCATGCCGTAGTCGTTAGACCTTTGNATTCCCACATCTCGGAGGGGGGGGAGGGATGCACTCGTAGTCGTGCATGCCGTAGTAGTTAGACCATTGACCTCGCATCCCTACAACGCCGGGATGGAGCACGCCGGGCTGTCCCCGCACTAGGCTCTCACACCACCAAGCGCGAAGCGCCGTGAGGTATTCGGCAGCTCGCACGAAGGGTGCGCTGCATCCTGCTCAGGGTGTTCGGCATCTTGTGCTTACTTCCTTGCATACGGATGACAGCTGCGTATGACTTAATTTACTTTCTGGTGCTTTCACTCCAGAGACAGTTATAGTCTAAGCACTTGTGTAATTGTCTCCAGGGTGCTTGACCATTTTAAAACAACGTGGTGCGATCATCCCCCTTGCGCGGAGTGAGGCTTCTGACCCCCCACAACATGATCTCCTCGACCACCATTATTGTCACCGCAAAAAAAAAAAAAAAACAGATGCAAAAAAAGATGCTGTCACTTGATTGTCGAGCTCACGAAGTGATCGGCTTGTTTGACAATGTCGTTGCCCGGCGACCAAATCCCATCCCCGATTGCAAAGACCGGGGGAGGCGCAGGAGGAATGGGGGGGGGCTTCATTTCTTGGGTATGATCTCGATCCGTTCCCAGACCGGTGCACGTATGAAGTGGTGCCGCACACCTGGTTCACCTCCACCCCTCCCCCCCACCCCCAATACATTGGGGTTGGGTCTCCGTCGCTGCGGAACACGGCGATCGTTTCGTACCCCCGACAATCAGGGATACTCTTATCTCTTGTCGCTTCCTTTGGTGTTCGTCGACCATGAGGGTAGTCGAGGTCGCATACCCTCACTCCGTGCAAAGACCGCTATGTGTGAAGTTGGTCGAGCACCTTGGAGGCAGGTACAATGTGCTTTGTTATTGTCTCTGGAAAAAGAGGTGAAGCACCAGAAGCGCAGCACAAGATGCCGAACACGAAATAAGAAATTTTTGATTTTGCAGGTCCCTGGGTAGTCAGGACTTGAAGTGCACCGCTCGTGTGTCGACTTTGACATCTTGTATGCGTACAGTGAGGGAGCAATGGTAACAAATCGTGTGTCCCTCTGTTTTTCGTCCGTGCCCGCACAGAAATCAAGTGCTGGGCTATTTGCTGCCCTTCCGGCTACTGCTTCGTCCAANGTCGCTTCCTTTGGTGTTCGTCGACCATGAGGGTAGTCGAGGTCGCATACCCTCACTCCGTGCAAAGACCGCTATGTGTGAAGTTGGTCGAGCACCTTGGAGGCAGGTACAATGTGCTTTGTTATTGTCTCTGGAAAAAGAGGTGAAGCACCAGAAGCGCAGCACAAGATGCCGAACACGAAATAAGAAATTTTTGATTTTGCAGGTCCCTGGGTAGTCAGGACTTGAAGTGCACCGCTCGTGTGTCGACTTTGACATCTTGTATGCGTACAGTGAGGGAGCAATGGTAACAAATCGTGTGTCCCTCTGTTTTTCGTCCGTGCCCGCACAGAAATCAAGTGCTGGGCTATTTGCTGCCCTTCCGGCTACTGCTTCGTCCAAAGCATCGACGGCAGGTTCAGCGGCGACATCAAGGTGAGGCCGTATGCGAGTTGTCCCATTGGAAAGTCGGCCCGCACGGTCATGTACGTCCTACTTGAGGCGTGCGAGACTTTCTCCGACAAAATCATCGGCTCCGGTGTTACCGTAGCGATGGACAACTTCTTCACGGGAGCCGCCCTGCTGCAATGCCTCGCTACGCGCGACATTTACGCCGTCGGGACTCTACGCGGCAATCGCACCGGGGTGGATCTCGCCAACTACATCTGGTCGAGGGAGGGCACGAAGGCGACGGAGCGTGAGCAGATGCTGAAGGCCCGCTCGGACGAGCTCGTGATCGTCAAGTGGATCGGCTCCCAGGAGGTGCACCTGATGTCGGCGAAGCATGTATTTGCGGCCGAGTGGGAACCTCTCACTCTCGAGTGAGTACAACCGTAAATCCATGCCGCGATGATATTTTCTCCCGGACCCGCATCCAATCGTGGTGTACCGTGATACGTACATTCATTGCTGTCATGTTTTTTCTCCCAACCAAGTTGTGTGTTGCACACGGCATGGCAAATGTGGAAACGCTAGTTAGTTCGGGTTATGAGGGCATGCTTCTCCGCTGGAAGTGAGCGTCTCCGCTGGAGGCGGACGCCTTCGGNCAAATCTTCACAGGAGGAAGCGAGCTGCGGACAACAACGGCGAGAAAGTGTCGAGCAGTCAGCCACTAGCTCGCAAGAAGTACGTCAAGAACATGGGTGGTGTGGACGTCGCGGACCAGCGGCTAGGCGCCCACGCCCACACGCACAGGCCTATGACGTTCTTCTGGAGGCGTGTCTTCGACCAAAAGTTGTCTCACGCTGTCAGCAACGCGTGGCTCCTGTTTTACGAGTGGGCTTGGGTGCTAGCCACGCAGTGTACGGCGGCGTTGGAGGCAGCGACCCAACACGGAGGGGCCGGTGACGCCGGGGAGGCCGGGGAGGCCGGGGAGGCCGCGGAGGGAGGAGCAGCCGCGGACAGTTGCGATCTCACGGTGGCAGAGCTTNTGGCAAGGATTACGTGAAAAACATGGATGGGTGGTGTGGACGTCGCGGACCAGCGGCTAGGCGCCCACGCCCACACGCACAGGCCTATGACGTTCTTCTGGAGGCGTGTCTTCGACCAAAAGTTGTCTCACGCTGTCAGCAACGCGTGGCTCCTGTTTTACGAGTGGGCTTGGGTGCTAGCCACGCAGTGTACGGCGGCGTTGGAGGCAGCGACCCAACACGGAGGGGCCGGTGACGCCGGGGAGGCCGGGGAGGCCGGGGAGGCCGCGGAGGGAGGAGCAGCCGCGGACAGTTGCGATCTCACGGTGGCAGAGCTTCGCGAGTTTCAATCCCTCGTCAAGAAGGCCATGAAGGTGGAGCGTGTTGACTGGGACCGTAGGCTCGCGAATCACCTGATGTCCTTGTGCAGTGTATGTCACACTGAGACGAGGGCAAGCCGCACGACAAAACCTGTTGAGACGTACAGCGTAAAGGGCGCAAAGTCATCCCTTGTATGTTATGGGGGGATTTGCGAGGAGACCGCAAAGGCCAGCCGGTGCACGGGGAGTAGGACTCGGGTTGTATGCTGGTGTGATACTTGCACGGATGGGTTGGGGAAGGACCGGGCGTTGATCCTGTGCACGAAATGCAACAAAGTACCAGCAGCGAATGTTACCGCTAGGAAACATGCCGCCGCGAGAAAGTACAAGCCCATCTCTTGATCGGAGGTGACAGCTGAGTAATTTGTTGTTTATTGATTGTGATGTTGACACGTGCAAAGATAGTACCGGCAAGTGATCATGTCGCCGCCGCCAGAAAACGATCGGGGTGTGCATGTGCTCCTAGTTGTGCATGTCGCAGTCGTGGGGGGCGGGGGGTGTACTCGTGGTCGTGCATGCCGTAGTCGTTAAACCATNCGGATGACAGCTGCGAATGACTAAATTTACATTCCGGTGCTTTCACTTCCAGAGACAGTTGTAAGCACTGTGTGACTGCCTCGAGGGTGCTTGACCATTTTAACACAACGTGGTGCGATCATCCCCCTTGCGCGGAGTGAGGGTTCTCCACCCCGCACAACATGATCTACTCGACCACCATTATGGTTACCGCCAAAAAAAAAAACGGAGGTAAAAAAAGAAAAAACGGTAACCTGGTTGCCGAGTTCACGAAGTGAATTGGCTTGTTTTACAACGTCGTTGCCAAGCGACGAAACCCAATCCCGATGGCAAACACCGGGGGGGGTGGATGGGGGGGGAGTATCTTTTTTCTGCGGTGTGTGGGCATACCCAGCCCTACACGATGAGTTGTCTGTAGCTTCGACTACGACCATTTGGAATCAGGAGTGAGGTCAATTGTTACTTACATGGTTGGGGATGGCGGCCGGTACGACGGTTCGTATTTACTGATAGATTCCAGAGCAACAGGAGGAAGTACCGCGAGTTATCGCGAGGTGGTGCAATGTAAAAGCATAAATAAACTATTTTGGTGCTTCTGGGCTTCCACGGCAGAAGTATTCCGGCTTGGGTTTGCAGTTTGCTGCCTTCGGTGCTGTTCGTAGGTCACTTGATGTGTAATTTTGTCAGTCAACGTTTCGGCGCTCGAAGCGTGACGAACGCAAAGGCGTTTAGTGTCATGTATCGTTCGCTGCTCACGGATGGGGCAAAGAACAACTATTTTGAAACAACAATTGTGGAAAGGTGTCAAGACCGGCGCCTATCTTGATGGAACAACACACATTTATGCGTTCATGACTACAGCCTTTCCTCTGTTTTGACGCCGTGTGTGCCAAGCATGCGCACAGTTTGCTGTTCGACATGCCGTTCGTGGCGATGAATATGGTTAGATCGAACGAGCATGCATCGTCTCATGCTTCGAACATGGTTGTTTGCACTAACACTACTCGGAAAAAATGATCGGAAGTACGTTGTTCTTTACTACTTCGTAGTTCTACACATGAAAAGAAAAAAACATGCTGCAGCCTCCGCTCAGTACTGTCTGACATCCGTACCCGTCTGGCTCGAACGCCTGCCATGGTCACAGGCCAACAACCCCACCAAAGGTACACGCATCCCAAACGAGTTGGGTAACAAAGAGAACAAAATCAGACAACACAAGAAAACGCCCCCCACCCGCCAGACATAGNGGAAGTACGTTGTTCTTTACTACTTCGTAGTTCTACACATGAAAAGAAAAAAACATGCTGCAGCCTCCGCTCAGTACTGTCTGACATCCGTACCCGTCTGGCTCGAACGCCTGCCATGGTCACAGGCCAACAACCCCACCAAAGGTACACGCATCCCAAACGAGTTGGGTAACAAAGAGAACAAAATCAGACAACACAAGAAAACGCCCCCCACCCGCCAGACATAGCTGGCGTCATGTCGGGCAAAGACAACTTGCAAAACAGCCGATAGCTCGATAGCTCCCGCTGGCACGAGCTCCCAACAAACACCAACATGATAACACAGATAACCAATCAAGACAACGAAATTGCTTCAACCTTTGTACCCTACTAGACCGGGGTGTTCTAGTTCTCCATTCCAAGCACAAGCAGTCGAGACCGGGGCATTCCAAGCACATATCGAGACAGGGTCGGTATTTCTCGGCACCCCACAGGAACGCGAAGCTCCCGAGACCAATGCTGGGGCGAGAAAGCATGACCAACGACAAAAACATTCGGCCTTTGCCCCTGATGCAAAAGCAGTGCGCCTTAGGCGCGACGTCGAACACACCAACTACAGTACCTTTGCCACACGCCAACATGTCAAACTATGTACTGTAGGTCTTGTAAGGGACGGCTGCCACCACTAACTCGAGAACGCCTCAACCACAGAGACGTCCAATTCCCCGCTTCCAGGCCACAACGCACGGCAAGCGTGCGTGAAACACTCCGCTCTCTTCAGCTGCACTCCTTGGCCACGGGCGTTCATGGCCATCGCCCCGTCGTAGCAAGCCTGTGGCATTACATGCACTGACCCGAGTACACACGCCAAGCATAGGAGCTATAGAATTAGAAGTCTACACATGTACACATTCAAATGGACGGATAAAGCAAGGAGCGTGTCCATCAGCCTTCACGGCTGTGAGCATATCGATCGGCGTTGCAAGGCGACACGCTTCTTGCAACTCGACTTCCTACGATAGGGTANACATGCACTGACCCGAGTACACACGCCAAGCATAGGAGCTATAGAATTAGAAGTCTACACATGTACACATTCAAATGGACGGATAAAGCAAGGAGCGTGTCCATCAGCCTTCACGGCTGTGAGCATATCGATCGGCGTTGCAAGGCGACACGCTTCTTGCAACTCGGCTTCCTACGATAGGGTAGTGACGGGTGCATTTTCACGATGTTCGCCGCACGCGCACAGCTCTACCGTTTCACCATTTGCGGAGTGTAGGACAACAGACAAAAGGGGGGCCAACAACACCAACAACACAGAACATCGTGCAGCAGTATACATAACATCGTCTACGACGCGTGTCACACAGCAGGCGCGTACACAGCAGGCGCGTACTCTAAACAGCGGGTCAACAGGCAGCAGGACGGACGGACTTGTTGTACATGCATAACTACGCATGGACACGACAACAGGAAATACAAGAAGACCACAACAGGAGTAGCCTTCGGTGTGTACTTGAATTCGAAAAGTCTGAACAGATAGGTGGCAGCTATTATTACCCTCAAGTCCAAGTCAGTGTATCACTGCAGCATAGGGACAAGGACTGCTGCAGCGTACCTATAGTACCTTCGCTTCGTGCTCCTTAGACAACAGCATCTATGTACGGCAACCCACAGCAACACCACACCCGCCCCTTGTGCGACAAGTTCAAGTGGCAAACTCACTTGATTGTGGTACTTGTTTGCCGCCGTTGAGCCCGATCGTGCTAGCACGTCCTGGGTCTTGCCGGCCGCTATGATGTGGGCGTGGTACACGCCACACAAACCCGGGTGCTCCGCAGCGGCTACCTTGGCTGCTGCGGCTTTCATGCTAGGCATGGGCTCGGGAGCAGTGGAATGATCGCAATACTCTGCTCCAACTCCAGCGGCCACTTCAAAGGCGAACGCACGCGCCACATCGTTGCTGGTGCCATCTTCCGGTGGTGGATTCGCCGCGATCAAGGACACCAACTGCTCGTGGCAGGCCTTTGGGTTACCCGCCTTGTACCCCTCGACGTCGGGTGTGGGCAAGTCCATAGCTTGGGGATGTGCAGGTTGTGTGCTTGTGTTCGTGGGAAAACAGGAGCTGTAGTGAGCCGGCAGGGCTCACATTTGGGAGGGGACAGAGAAGTACAGAAGTACAAGTTCTCGCTATGGGTCTACAAGCCCTCTCACTGATAATTTTCATTGATCATTTGGATATACTGAAAATAGAGTTGTTTAGGCAGGTTGACGACTGATCATTCCAAGGTGAGCAAGACCAACCTGCCCTACCGGCTGCACCACGACCACCCAACACTTACTTCTATGACCCTGTCTTCGGTCAACATCCTGTCGCGGGCTACCCCAATGGCCTACAGGTGGAGGTAGCTGTGGCGTGTGGAGAAGTACAACAGAGACTTTCTCTGCACTTATCGCTCTCTATCCGTCTCGCTCTCACCCCTCTTTTTCTTTTTTTTCAGAAAAAATATATATGAATCGAAACGGAATATGGGGATGGCGGACCACGCTTTCGGCCGGCGACCTTGTTGTTTTTCTTCACGTTAAACTCGCTTCAGTTGCTAATCCTAAAATCTAGCAAAGACTCAGTCCGTGGCCACAAAAATGCTAGAGCCATCAGAAGATCTAAAGAACACACACGCTATTAGCAAGAAAAGGGTACACAAGCCTGAGGAGGTACACCTGCAATCCCTGCAGCACGTTTGCGTGCTCACAACTGAACTACACGCCCACACTCGCGATAAAAATACTTCAGGCAAGAACCGCAGGAGGAGGTCCAGCCCCCCCCTCCTATGTGACCCCGGTTGGGTCGTCTAGCTAGTAGAAGTGGAGGATAGGGACCAGAGGGGCAGACGACAGAATCCGATGATGGGAGAAAAACAAAAAAAAACACTACAACTCGACTACAGCCGCAGCATCAATCCCCTTGTCACGCATTTAACCGAAATGAATGTTTGTCGACTGCAGCGTACTGCTGTCAGAAGTGCTGTCTGTACAATAATAACACCATGGTTCATTGTACACAAGCTCGGGGCATGCAGCTGCTGTCTGATGTGCTCTCAGAATGAGTCCGTGGAAATACAATGAAGAAGAACACCCAACCAAAGGGACTACTTGTAGCCCAGACGCCAAGGGAATCTTCATCATCATGGACGGAGTCAACATTTGTTTTCGCCCTACAGCAGTACCTCGTCAACAGCTCAACAGAGTGGGATACCTACACGGGTACGTGCTCGTAGGCTGATTCGTCGTAAGACCATGTAAGAGCTACAACAGAGTTTCAGAGGTCAGGATACTCGACATACACACCAGTTTCACGAAGTGCAGCAACAGACCCGACTACCGCTTGTGATCGGAACATGAAGACAGGCCATCTGTAGTCACATACAAGGTCCAACATGCAGCAGCAGCGTCCTAACGTAGCAATTACACCGCTACCCATCAACTCATGTACTGCTCACCGACAAAAGAGCAGCCAGGCTCTGATCGCAGTGAAGGAAAGTGTCGTGCTCCAAAAAGTGGTCTTCGCACCCGTACCCGCATAGCTCCAGCTCTGGCCCGAGCCGGTACCTCGAGCCCATCGCCTTCGCTTCCCGGATTGAGCGAAGCACTCTTTCGAGGTTGCCATCGAAATCTAGAGCCCATTGATCCAGGTTGCAAGCTGCAACGGTAACGAGGGGCGTTCTCTCCACCGCAGCTGTCTCCATCGCCCTAAAAGCCAGTGCTGTGAGGAGCACGAGCACTGCAACCGCATCGATCACGTCAACGCACGTGTGAACCTGGAACCCCCACCTGCTGCTGCCGGCTGATGTGAAACAATGCGAGGGTGGGGGGATGAAATAGCGGAGCCCCCAGATCGGAGTATCTCCCACTCCCGAATCGAGGCGACTTCACTTTTCCATCTTCCATCACATCTCATCCGCAATCCTAACCTTCCCGTTCCTTCGCCTCTCCAGAGACAGAGAATAACCGTCGGCTCTCCACTGTGGAATCTACTCAAACCGAAAGGTCGTTACAGGAGCAGCAGCATTCCGTTGCTGGTGAATCTCATCAGCACACATCAGCACCTGAGGCACGGACGGTCTATCAAGTTCGGGCCAACGAGCAGGGATGAAGCTTCGTCACCTGGTTTGGGCGGCCGCTCTGCTGGCCCAATCTCTGCTCTCGGAGGGAAAAGGGAAAGATTACTACGGGGCCCTAGGGCTCAAGAAGAATGCCAAGGAATCTGATATCAAGAAGGCTTACAGGTGTGTGTTGAGCGGAGAGTACATCGTGTTGTACAAGTAAAGCTGCACCTTGCGTATTTCGATGCTCTCAACACAAACACAAACAGGTCGGTGCGGTCAAACAGTTGTAGGGTGTGTGCAGCTTCAGCGTGTTAGCAGCAGTAGGAAGAAGGTTTCCTCCTGCGTATCAGCGACTACGTGTAAGACCGATCAGGCCCGATTTGGGTTTCAAAGTTCAAAGCCGTGGGTGATCGTTTTGTGTTGAAAAAAAAAGAGGGGTCCACGTGTACCAGAGACGCGCGCTGATTGGTCAACCAGTTGTGGTGTTCGGGATTTTCCTTTTTTTTTTTTTTTTTTTTTTTTTTTTTTTTTTTTTTTTTTTTTTTTTTTTTTTTTTTTTTTTTTTTTTTTTTTTTTTTTTTTTTTTTTTTTTTTTTTTTTTTTTTTTTTTTTTTTTTTTTTTTTTTTTTTTTTTTTTTTTTTTTTTTTTTTTTCGAAGGTTGAAGGCCTTGTTTCTGTGTCGAACAAACTCGCACATGACGTGTTGTTCGTCGGCAGCCCTTCACACGTTCGTCCGTTTAGAGTATTGGTTACCGCATGCCTAATACTTGAAACCTTTCGCTGACGAGCTGGATAGTTTTCTATTTTTCTGGGACACTCCTTATTCCAGCTTTTTTTCCGACCCGCGGATGATTTTCTCTTCTCTCTTCTCTTGTCTCTCTCTGTCTTTCTTTCTCTCTTTCTCTCTCAGTCTCTTCACCCTCAACCCCTCAAGCACTCGCGACGCCATTGAACCTGAACAGATATAGGGAAAGCAGCCCGCCCTTTTTTTCCGACTGGTTCACGCCGTGCACCTCTACATTACCCGACCCATTTTGATGTTTGATGTCGACTTACTTCGAAAGAAAGCGCAAGAGGACCAGAAAATGCACACAAGACCAGTCGGACGGCATCGAGACAAATAGATACCGTTGATTCTCGCACTGGGCGGTGGTAGAGGCTGCTCAAAACATACATGTCAGGAGTCTACCTCATCTCGCCCACTTTGAAATCAAGATAAAAATCCACACCTAACCTAAAGTCGGAAGAGCCACAACGGCAGGCGCTCAAATGGGTCAGTGTAGCATGTTTACTGCACCTTAGTACTGATGTCACTACAAGACACCCTATATTAGCGGGGAGGGTGCGTTGGCGCGCTTAAATATGCTTCTGTGGGGGTGATACCGAGGATCGTAGCAACGGCCTCGATCTCCGCATATGTGACCGACACCCAGTATTTTGTACTGCTTGTGCTCGCCGCCACTAACCTCAAACTCCTGAGCTGCAGGTTGGCAGCAGTACCTGATGCCACTAGCCACTGCTGACGACCCGCCGTTAAGGGTTTGCCGGTCCGTGGCGGGGAGCGCAAGCAGTACACTCGTGGGTGTTGGTCAAATTTGCGGAGATTAAAGCTCATTTTTGCTGGATGATCCTCGATGCCACCATACGTTCAATTCTGCTGTGCTGCAGTACACGAGTTTGTGCAGTCTTGTTATTTATAACCTTCGCCTCTCTCCATCTCCATCGAGGGCATGCCCCCCCCCCCCAAGTCATTCAATTCGCTCCTGCTCACCGACTCGTGTGCACTCCTGCATTCGTGTCTTGCGCTCTGAACACGATCAACAGGAAACTAGCTCTCAAGTACCATCCTGACAAGAACCAAGACAGGCAGGAGTGGGCTAACAAAAAGTTCGCCGACGTCGCCGAGGCTTATGAAGTCCTGTCGGACGCCGAGAAACGGAGTATCTACGACCAATTTGGCGAGGAAGGTCTCAAGCATGGCGCCGGTGGCGGCGACGGAGGAGCGGGAGGCTTTCCCGGTGGCGGTGGCGGTGGCTTCCACGGATTCGGCGGGTTTCCTGGCCAAGCAGGCGGTGGCGGAGGGCATAGATTCCATTTCGAGGCTGGAGACGCGCACAGAACGTTCGAGCAGTTCTTCGCAACTGGGACCCCCGGAGGTGCGTTGATACGAAGCCGACCTTACCTCTGGGTTGTTAGGCACTTGGAGAGTTTTGTCCGACGATTGGGAGATTTTTTACGGTGGATCAGCACCGTCCTTGAATTCACCCTCGAGCAAGCGGAGGGGAGGAGGAGGCGAGAGGGTATGGGCCAGGGCGGGAGCCGCAACGGCCACCGAGGTGTGTTCGTCAGCCTTGGTCATCATCTATGATGTGCTTGCCTGGTTGAGACCCGCACAAGCCTCCCTCCTCTCCCTTGGCCGTTTCGGTGGGAAGTCGACTGCCTGCATTTTCATGGCATACACGTTTGTAGTTTGTGTGGCGATTGACAGCAGACCCAGTTTGTTTCATCATAGACCAAGACACCAGCATCATGATGATCACAACACGATTCGCCACATACTATCCCGTCCCCCACGCGCCCGGGTATTCCTTCCACACCACAGGCGGTGGGGGCGGCAACATCTTCGATGAGTTTTTTGGCGGCGGTGGTGGTGGATTCGGCGGAGGAGGATTTGGCGGGGGGGGGGGGGGGGG